CTTGAGCCAAAATGGCTACGGACTCCGTCTGTCTGTCTCTCTGTCTGTCTCTCTCTGTCTGTCTCTCTCTGTCTGTCCGAGAGACCTTTCTCTCCCTCTCTATTGCTTCTCACTCTCTCTCTGTCTCTCTAGACGGGAGACCCCTCCCATTGCGCGCGTTGGCGCCCCCGACCACTAATGAGATCAATGGCTGCTAGCCACGGTGGTGCAGCAGCGTAGAACTAGAATGTAGAAACGAGCACACCACGGATCACACACCCTAAAATATAGACGGAGATATACGGAGATGCTGGTAGGCAAACCGTAAACGTAGTTGGCAAGCCCCAAAACCCGAAAACGCTTGCCACCGCGCGCCCCGAACCCTAACATAAGGTTGGCAAAGCCAAAAGCTTGGGAAATGCTGCCAGTGACGAACCCCAAACCCGAAAACGAAAGTGCGAGTGGCAAAAACCCTAAACCCTAAAAACACTGAACCTGCAAAGGCGATGTTGGCTTGGCAAGCCCCAAACGGAAACCCTACAAGCCAATCGTGACCCTACAAGAAAAGGAATTGGTTGGCATTTTGGTTGCCTATGCCCAAACCCCTCAGAAAGATAACGGCTGCCAAGCCCCAACCCCTAAAAGCAAATATTGGTTGGCAAACAGGAAAGCTTAAAAGAAGATGTTGGTCGGCGAATCCGGCGAACCCCAAACCCAGCGCGGGGGACGAACCTCAAACCCTAAAGGGGGATGCTGGTAACTAAAGAAGAACACGTTGGTAGGCAAACCGTAAACGTAGTTGGCAAGCCCCAAAACCCGAAAACGCTTGCCACCGCGCGCCCCGAACCCTAACATAAGGTTGGCAAAGCCAAAAGCTTGGGAAATGCTGCCGGTGACGAACCCCAAACCCGAAAACGAAAGTGCGAGTGGCAAAAACCCTAAACCCTAAAAAACCTGAACCTGCAAAGGCGATTTTGGCTTGGCAAGCCCCAAACGAAAACCCTACAAGCCAATCGTGACCCTACAAGAAAAGGAATTGGTTGGCTTTTGGTTGCCTATGCCCAAGCCCCTCAGAAAGATAACGGCTGCCAAGCCCCAACCCCTAAAAGCAAATATTGGTTGGCAAACAGGAAAGCTTAAAAGAAGATGTTGGTCGGCGAATCCGGCGAACCCCAAGCCCAGCGCGGGGGACGAACCTCAAACCCTAAAGGGGGATGCTGGTAACTAAAGAAGAACACGTTGGTAGGCAAACCGTAAACGTAGTTGGCAAGCCCCAAAACCCGAAAACGCTTGCCACCGCGCGCCCCGAACCCTAACATAAGGTTGGCAAAGCCAAAAGCTTGGGAAATGCTGCCGGTGACGAACCCCAAACCCGAAAACGAAAGTGCGAGTGCCAAAAACCCTAAACCCTAAAAAAACCTGAACCTGCAAAGCTGAAAGAGCAATTTTGAAACCCCATACCTTCACAGAAAATGACGATGGAAAGCCCGAATCCAAACCCTAGAACAAGAGGACATTGGTTGTCATGCCTCGAGCCTTCAATTGAGCCGAGAGGAACATCGCAGGTAGCAAATACGAAAACAAGAAGATGGAGCCGGAACCCAGATCCAGCGTTGTTTTGTCAATCGGTCCTTGGCGCTGTCCGAACCTGTTCTTTGAATCGGGGCGGCTTGTACTTCTCAATCGGCCTGCCTGGTTTTGCAAGTTTATTTCGTGAAGTCAAAAAACCCGCTACTCTGTAAGAGGAGCGAGTCACTGAAACACATCAAGTTTTCGTAAACAAGGAACCTGTTCTCGTTCACACGCAACCGTCAACTTTGATGTCTGAGTCCATGCACAAGAGGACGCAGAATGATGCGCTTTCGGGTGCAAGGCGAAGTAAAACTCATAAAACAGCACTCGCGTGAAACTTAATGCCACAAGCGTGTCGGCGACGTCACAAGATCCAAGACAGATACATGAATCCCGTATTGCAGTCGCCAAAATGTTGCCAAGATGGCAAAATCAGCCACATTGATCGAACATCCGCTGTGAGATGGACAGTTCAAAACGGTCAGCACAATTCGAATGGAAAAAGTTCGACGCAGGTCTCCAACTCCGGCACATTTTTGCACCACACACTTAACGAGATGGCCCTTCAATGGACAGGCCGGCCCACAATGACCGTGATGTTTTACCCAACATGGCTTGTGAACGCGTGCACATGCCGGAACTGGCACTGACACTGGCTTGTTCAGCTCGAGATCAAAGTGGCTAATCCTTACGTAGTCCCATAAAGAATCTACACCTCGGCATCTCCTGTAAGTCTGCGCTGCTCAGTTGGTGGACGGTCAACCTAATGAATGGTTTCTCAGGCAGCTTTCACCACACCAAGGAAGGGCGGTGAAGAAAGAGGCAGTCCCGAAGTGAAAGCGAGGAACGTTCCAAAGAAGCGATAGCAACATGTTCTCCACCACTATCGCACCCCTTCCAGTGCTTCACACTTAGAAACACAGCGATGAATGAAGGCTGGCCAATCTTGCGGGCACTCACAGCGTCACTGATGGTACCTCTAACCGCTAGTCATAGTCAAGAGTCACCGTGATGCAACAGAGCACGAGAAGTATGTAGAATCAGAACCCGGGCACACCAAGCAAAATACGCGTATCACGAACATCTATAAGCAGCTACGCCGGCTCAGCATCCCAGACCAATACTAGTGCCAAGTGAGAGCCTCGTCATTGGGCAATCATTCCCACAAGAAATATTGCCCCGCTGCTTCACATCTACAGGTGGAACATGGACCGAAGTCAACTATTAGTCATTAGTTTTGCATGTTGGCAGTCTAGCTGCCCACACACACATGCACACACTCAAACGCAAACACACGCAAGCTTCTCCTAAGAAACCGCATGCGGACACAGCATGCCGTAGGCTGAGCATCGAGCACAAAAGTTCCTCCAGAAGAGGCTCCGACAAATATGAGGTCCAGCGGAACGGTTGTCTTGGATTGAAAGATACGACGAGCACCATGCAGAATCGTTGCAGCGACGTCCTCGAAGTCGCCGCCGTCTGAGTTGGGCCAGCAAAAGCTTCCGTCATGCACCGGATTCGTGAAAGCCACAATAGCCGCGCTTCGCGCCAAGACGGCGCGAAGAAAGATAACTTCTTCAGGTTTTTGGAACCAGTCGCTTCCTCCGTTGTTGCACCCATGAAAAAGGACGAACACGGTGTGTGCTGAAGCCGGCCAGTTTGAAAAGGCGTGTAACCCCGCCAACTCATGCACATCAGCGTAAACAGGCCACTGCTTCGCAGAGCAGCGCCACAGAAGTGCGGCAATCCAAAGGAGTGACATTTGAAGCCCTTGCCCAGCCACGTCTCCAGTGTTCGCCTGTCAACACCTACCATCAGATTACACAGTGCCTGCCAAGGAGAGCTTGAGCCCGACACACCCAGAAGCACCACTGCAGCTGGTCAAAACTTGGCCACGGCCCGAGCATGGCGCCTCAAGTGCCTCCTTTTCCGCTTCCAGTTCTCTTCGACGCTTCTCGGCCTTGCTGTCAAGCATCTGGACTTCCAGACATGACGGCTCAGTGAAGGCGCCAGTGCCTCCACTCGCCTCCTCTTGACAGCTGCCTGGCACGAAAGCATTGTAGTCTGCCGTAGATGTGCTGTGTCTTGTGAGGCTGGGGACACCTCTTCCCTTGCCACTCCGACTGCTTGTCGGACTCGGGCAAGGTTCTGCTTGTCAACACCTACAAGTTTCAAGAACATAACTGTTGAGTCATCCGCTTGTGTGAATCCGTGTGAGCCTCTTCTGTCATCTCCACTGCCGACGAGCCTTAAACTCTTACAGCTGCAGTTTCGAATTGAACATACCTTCTGAGGCCTGGAGCCAATGTCTGCCCCAGAGAGAGACAGAGAGACAGAGAGAGAGAGAGAGTGAGACAAAAAAACACAACAGACATGGAGACTTGGGGTTCGCAGGTGGGCTTTGCGGTAGGCGAAGTTTGGATGTAGGTCCGCCCCACAAGGAGCGACCGCCGGCCACAAACACGTCGGTTGCTTGGGAAACTTCATCGTAAGACCAAGTGGAAAAAGCTCGCACAAAACATCAGCAAACAGCAAACTCAGCCTAGGAGCCTGTCGATGACGCTTTGCGGAACTTGAAAGGAATATTCCCCTTGCGCATAGGCAGCGATCTCCTGCCAGGTATGTTGCAAGCCTAGGCCTTCACAGCTTGCAGCAGCACCTGTGCATTCAGCATGCCATCATTGTCCACATCATACTTCCGAAACAACTCCTGCCAGCAACGGGCCGGGCTCCATTTAAAGCAACATGATTGCAGCATCCAGGGTACACCTCCCTCTTCTCCATGTGTTTCAATGCCTGAAAGCAGACTTGAACAGTCTTTCACCTTTAAGACCTTCTTGACAATTCTGGAACTTGTCCCACCTTTTCCTTTCGATGCGCGCCGTCGATCTTGGCCTCTGTGCATGACGAGAGTACTCCACCCTCTACTCACATGACCAAAAGGCAGACCGGGACGATTACATGGGGGGGTCCTGCGGGGCCTGGCATCACGGGAGAGTCGGCAATGCGGCTGCCGTCTCCCACCGAAAACGCTCCTGCGGCATCTTCGAAGGGGTTCGGAACCGCCAGTGGGCGGTCACCGGCCCGGTCTCAGAACGGGGCTGCATCGGCGATGCAGTTCCCTATTCTGGTGTTGCAGTGTTCCTCAATACGTGTTTGTGTCACAAAACACGGTGCGAAGGACGTCAGCCCAACGTAGGCATGGACGTCTTCGGTCGACACGCATCCGCACGCATGGAGCAATCCGCCCTAAACCGGCGCTCTGCATTGGCTACCGCTTGCTACCGCCAAGGTCCCCCCAACCACAATGGGTCAGGGTGCCTGGAGCGATACTTCACCCCCTCCACTACTAAGAGGATTTACAGATGCCGGAGCTCGAACATTGGACGTTGACGATTGGAGGAGGTGAAGCCATTGGAAACAACCAATTGCGTGTTAGGGACGGGGAGCTTCTATGCATGCACATGGTGCCCTCCTGGCTGGCTGCCTGGGCTGTCCCGCCCCGACATCGTTTGCAGGAGGGGAATGCGAGATAAACACCGTCAATGCGGACTTCAGCCAGGCTTGGCGACAGCTCGAAACCGTCGCAGTCAGGTGCGATGCAAAAACTGGAGGCTCAAAAGAATGCTGTCTGCCGTGTCTGTTGGGCTGCATGATCGTGCAACACAAGGAGACATTGCTGTGGCCTGTTGTCACGTTCTTTTCAGTGGAGCTTGTTGTTATCACGGTATGCTCTACGTTGATACGTGATATGCTTGTAATGCCGGAAGTAGGCTAGCTATGGCTAGCGAACATGATCAACTGCATTGCCAACATCTGGCACAGCAGTATGTTCTCGCATGTTGCATCTGACGTTGCGACAAGCTGCTCAGAGCAACAACGCCACCACAACTGTACTGTTCTAAATGTCCGTAATTCTTTTTTACAACCCACACCATGGACTGGCAGGCATGCATTCAACGACAAATAAGGATAATTTCGACGAGTCGGATGCTTGCACGCCTCGAGGCCGTTCACGCATGTGGCCATGTTCACGAAGGCACCGTGGATCTTTCGTTGCAACTGGCGTGCAAGGAAGGAACATGTCATGCCCATGAAGACAGGAAGGAGGGCGGGAGAGGAACAGAAAAGAGGGAGAGGACAAGGCAGAGAGAAGACAAGAAGAGAGAGTATCCGATCAATTCCCGTACCTGCACAAGCTGTTCCCGAGTCTCCGCTACCACAGATCTGGCCTGGCAGATACAACACGAACAACCAAACGATTGGAAGTTGAGAAGCCTCTTCCATAGCAAACCTCTTGCTGAGGAGGAAATCAGAGCAAGCTCGGCAGCTCGCCTTGTCGTTTCTGCATGTGTAGGGTATCCACTGGCTGCTGAAGATTCCAAGAATCGGACTTTGGCTTTTCCCTTGACCTGCCCAGATGTGAAAAAGTCCCTGCAGGGGTCCTCCACAACTGTCAGGATCCACGACCTCGTCAAAACCGGCACTGGACTTGTCGAGCTCCGACAGGTCCTGGAACTGGCTGCGAGGAGACTCATGCCAACTCAGAGAGAACACTCAGTGCCATGCCAGGCTGGTGTCCATGATCGGCTGCACCTTCTCCTACAGATTGCTACAGTGTACAGTCTGATCAGCCGATCGCCCTGGCCAAGACCGTTGGACCATGGGCCTTGAGCTCGGAGACGCTGCCCTGCAAACGCTTCTCAAGCACATGCGATGATACACTGCATTGCAATACATGGCACAACCATCATCTCAAAACACAGCAAGTACACCACTTCACAAGAGCGCCCAACAGCCTCAGCTGCGACGACCAGCTGGGACAACTCCTGAAAGAACATCAGATGGAGTGAACCATTCGATTATGGTTCTCACCCACATTAAGGTGTGGGGTTTTACGCTTCTTCAGTGCCCCTAAACGTGATTGAAAACGCTTCAATTCGCTTTGATGTGTTGTGACCATGACTGTCAACGGTCCAAACGGTCAGGCCTCGAACCCCTGAACCGCAGAGGCTGCATCCATTTCGGGTCCGAACCAAACCCCGGCCGGACCCCAACTAAAAAGGAACGAGTGGCAAAATCTGGGTCCCGAAAGGACCGTAGCTAAGAGAAGATAATCCTTTGCAGGGGTTGTTGGCAGCTAAACCGGAACCTTTGCAGTTTAGCACTGATGTGCAAACCCTTTCCTTACAGGGAGCTGCGGATTGCTCTTAGAATCCTACCCGGACTGCAAGGAGGGTTGAGCACAACAGTCGGAAGTGGAAGAGCAGTGATGGATATCCAAGCGGAAAAGAAACCTTTTCAGTTTTACGGCCTGTAGGCTTGCGTCCACGGAAGCTTGCTTGCCTCCCCGACTGGCGCTCTGGAAAACTCATTGAGACGGGGTCTCCTGCAGAAGTTGGGCAGTGACGGCTTCGCGCTCTTTCATGCGCTTCTCCTGCAATGCAGACGTGTCGGCTTGCTGCCCAGGCAGAGCCACCCAGACACTGAGTTGCAACTGTTTGCAAGCGTCCGACACACTCGTCGACGCCTCTTCTTCCCGTTGCTGCCGATATGTCTCCTTGCGCTCGGCGGCCATCTGCGTGGCCTTCAGGATGTTGTGGGAAGCAGGCCGAGGCGAGGCCATGACAAGCCGTGGCAAATCGGTCCACTGACTCGAAAGGCCTGGTAGACTTCCTGCTGCAACCGTTGCCACATATTTCCACACTCACTGCCGATTTTGTTGAAGACCTGGGCAGCTGTGCACAGCATGAGCCACTAGATGAAAGCAGCGACAGTCTGCAGCATGGGGTACTCAAGCCATGGACGTCTTGCATTTCTGCACAGGCTTGATCCAATGCTTCTGGAGGTGTTGTGCGAACTCTATGAATGGCCTCGGTCACCCATACTGAGGGCAGACGATAACAGAAAAAAAAGCGCTTGAGAGCAGTTGCCTGTCGCACCATCTGGATGGCATTCTGCTCCTGCGAAATGACGGGACGGTTTCTGTCGTGGCTTCTGTTGCACTCCGAGATGCTGATCCTCCTGTTGTCGGCGCTGTGCTTCTTGCCTGTGAAAATTCTGTACACTCGAGGCCAAAGGAATCTGTGCTGTCCCGATAGGAGTCTGAGCTATCCTTGCAAGAATCTGCATCCAAGTGTCCATTCCTGATGACCCATGTTCTGTTGGAAGCCAGCCTGCATGTCCACATATAATATGTGCACTTACACACACACACACACATATCATCGGTCTGACAAAACTCCACCTTGCAGAACAGTGTAACAGCTCCTTGAGCTTGCCAACACATATCAACGAACATAAGTCCTCTTCATGCCTCCAGAAATTGATCGCTCAGCAGGATGAGGTCATTTTGCCAAAACGCTGCTATCCCAAACTGCCGTAGAAGACACGTTGTCATCAAGTACGGGCACCAAGACTAGTCCAGTCCGTGCGTTCACACCCTTTCCAGATCGGACCTCCCAAGTACTTGCTTGCGGTGACGCCAAGGAATCTGACAAAACGGTGCGACAGAATGACCAGTGGTTTGGTACCATGAAATATCACTATGCTGAGTGGAAACCACATATGCACAATCAACAGTGCCCCGTGAACAGACTGATTGACAACTTTGCTGAGAAAGGCACCAGCAACCGCACCACACTTACACTGCCGCACTGCCGCCTTCAGCCCAAGACAGTACAGGAGTCACTCCAACGCAATGCACGAGAAGCTTCCGTCATCATACGAAGGAAATCCGCAATGCCTGTGAGCGTCCGTGTTTTGGTTTCCCGACATCCACACTCCGAGAACTGTGGCCCCCGCTGGCTCACCGGATGCTCATTGGTCCCTTGTATGCGCACCGGGGGTGCTAGACCAGTTTTGACAGGCATTGTGCACATCGCGAGATTGAGTGGTCTCAGCCCTCAGCCGCACCGAGTTGAATACTCAGAGCATCTAAAACTTCGCACCGTATTGCTTGAATGTGAGAGTCTCAGCATGCCGCTTCAGCACCATCATGCACCAACTTATCCCGGTACGTTTCCTCGGTTTGTCGCGGTTACAAACTAAAAGTTTATGGCCTTGCAGCTTTTCAGGAGATGCATACTGATGTGACAGGATTCTGTATCATGTAAACACGACGATGCTAACAACTGTGCAACTTTCATCATCGTGTTCAGTCGTTTTCACGTGTCTTAGCACTTTTTACCGGTTCGCCTGCCCACAGGGGCCGCAGGACCCGCAGCCCTGCGTATAGCCTTGCTGCGCTTGCTGGTACCTGCACCGCGGGCCAGGGTGCTTGGGCTTGCCTCGCATGTCGCGTCTACCATCCATACAAGGGGGGGAAGTCTCGGTCCCACACTGCTGATTTTGCTGGGCCATCCTGAAACCGACACCGAGCTGTGGACGCTGATGGCAATCGCACTTCCAAAGAAAAACTGTCATCCAAGTAGCTGCTGGTAGGCTTGCTGCTCCTGCATCCGTCATGCTATATTGACTCTGGTGCGGATAAGACACAGCACACCCACTCCTGCGAACCAACAACTTGTACACTGAAGCTTGCATCAACAGGACCATCGTACGGAACCTGCGGACTTGACGCTGGCAAGGGCATACCACATGAGGGCTTTACAGCGACAAGGACCCTCCATTGCGAAGATGGTGGCACCATGGATTTGTCAGGGCTGTAAGCCCAAACCTAGCGGGAGCCGAAGCTTGAGGAAGACCCTGCCAGAAGTCAGAAGCTGGGCACAAAGCTTGGTCCCCTCCAACTGCAGGACCGAACCACCTCATGATGTCGGAAGAGGGAAGGCCCGCCACGCCAGAACTCAGCAGTCAAGGCCGACACCATCCAGAGAAGCTAGCGCCGTCTCTGTCGTCCCAGAAGTAGATCAGAACGTCCATGTTGTTGGACTGTCAGCAAACAGAAGTAATTGAGTTAACACCTCACCATGTCCATGCAAGCATGCAAGCAACAGTTTCACCCAAATCTACCTGTTCGGTGCGGCGGAAGACCGGACGTCCGTGATTTTCGGACGCTGCCACATACCTTACCCACATGCACAGGCTGCCACCGCACCGCAGCAGCTCAAACAGGCATGAAGGTGCAACCGTGCCAGAGGTCACTCACCACGTACGATTCCAGCAACGGTCTCGTTTTGGCATCCTGGCAAAAACTTCGAAGGATTGACATTACTTTACATCGATGCATGGACCTGCCACTTGCAGGTTTTGATGCGGCAGCCGCTAACAAACAGCCACAACATGTTCATCTGACCCACAAGGTTCCATACCCACGTCACAAGCGCTTCCTTGCCAGTCTGTCTTTTTACTAAACACTTTCATGCACTTGGATCTGAAAACTTTGATGGAACGGTAAAGCAGTAGTGAATTGTCAGTGGGATGCCCACTGAAACCTAGACCAGAAGCACACAATCAAGACTCTGGGTTCACGCATCGAGACGTAACAAATGTTCAATCAGGCCAGTGTGCCTGAAACGATGAGCTTGGAAGCTGCTTGCTGGATCGCTTGAGTTTGCCTGATGCGCGTGAACGACACGGTTGAGAAATCCTGCATGCAACTGGATTAACACATGTTTCCATCACGGACAAGCTGCAGCTGCTCAGCGCCGTGACCCTGCGGAGATGCATCTTATCTTGAGGTGAAGCGTGGTCAAGCTTAGCACAGCATGGACGAGTGCAGAAGTTCGTTTCTAGTGGCCTGTCTCGAACTACGTGGTCACACATATGAAAAGCCATGTTAGGCTGCTAGACACTGGTCCAAGCCTGCTGCGACTGCATCTGAGCGTAGCCTGCTGGCAGGCGGAAGAGGCCCACACAAAGCATCGCTTGCACAGCGAAAAACAAAGCGCTTTACCGATCGTCTCATTTCTCCTCTTCGCTTGCACGAGGATCCCTGGGCTCTATCTCCGTCCGAGCCACGCCGGCCTGTCCCAACAAGATACATGCTGCAGCTTTTGGAATCCACTGACGCGCTGAGGCCGCAAGCTTGGACATCTCCAAGGTTTGTAACTCAGACCATTCCGAAAGACCCACGCCAACACTTGCTTCTTCGCCCTCAAGCGAAGCATACATCCTAAAACCTCCCAGCTGAAAATACAGTGCTTCACGATGGGGCACCATAAGGCAGCAAGACAGCACCTCAATCATCTGCGCTACGGAGTGCAGTGCGGCAGCGGAGTCCTCGGACGGAGCACAGGAAGAGTCATCATGTTGGGCGAGAAATTACAGATTCATGCGGGCCTCCACCTGCCCTGCCAGCAGAGCCTTTAACTCGCACTCGAGATCCGAGATTGCCCTGACCAAGAGTGCCAGATACGCATGGCAGGGCATAGCATCGCCCAGTTTGTAAAGCTGACAGGGCCTGCACCATGGAGCCGACCTGAGTTCCTCCCGCAGAGTCTTGATGTTCAGGGATTGCACCTTCAAGTCTCCGAAACTTCAGAGGGGCCACCGCAGCGGGCAAAAGTGCTCAGAGCCTGCCACAGCGACTGCGAGTCGGCTTGGAACATCTCAGCTCGCTCCAGTCGCTCCTCAGAAAGCGAGAGCAGCGCGAACTGGGAATGGCCTGAAGCCCGAAAGAGATCCTGGAGTCGATGCACATTGCCTTCACCTGCGCACAGCTTTTCAGGGGCACAACGCCCCTAAACCCATCCTGGCCCCACAACCCTGGCCTGGGGCTTCGAAGGCCTGGCTTGAAGGCGAAACAAGGCCAACCTTGAACGCTGATAATACTTGACACTTCGCACAGTTTGGCACCCGGCCTGTTGCTTTGACAGTGCGTTGGCCAAGTCCTGTGGCCGCAATGCGATCAGGCTGTGGGCTATGCGGAAGCAATCCAGAGCTTGCACTGCAAGCCTGAATGTTCTGTGAAAGTCGCCGCCTGAGCACTCTCAAACCAAACGGGGGCAAGCCAATCAGTCAGAACGACCAAACGTGCACGGCAAGCATCACATCATCGAAGACCATTCTCAAATAGATTAGAATCAGAAGAAAACTCCTATCCTGCCACATGACCAGAAGCATTACGATAAGTCCCGAATCTGAGCATCGTGCAGAGTCTCGCGCTGCTTGCTTTCAGCCTGACACCAACCAGATTGCCACAAGTCGGGCTGGAATCTTCGTCTTTGGGAGCAGAAGCAGCATTGCCCAGTTTCAGTGTTTGTGAAAAGTTTACAAAGCCGTTTCCAGGAATGGGATCAACTGACGGCAAAGGCAGCATCGATGTACAAATGGTCTGTAGCTGGCTCCCGAAGGCGTGCAAAGCAACAATATCAACCATCTCCGGCTTCCAACGTTCTTGCTGCACAGGCCGTCGACCCGTCATTCCCGCCACAGGATCAGGCCGACACCCCATCTCAAAGCCAGGTACATTCGTTGCAAGGGGGCATGAACAACACGGAGCACTGCCTTCCCCTCAAGATACTGACGTAGAATAACAGGGAGTGGCACCCCTCAACTCCCCTGGCGAAACAGGAGCTGGCTCAATGGTCACTACACCGGTACGGCGGGCTGTGGAAGATTTGTTTTGAGAACCTTGGGTCGTCATGTGATTTTGGCCTGTCATCTCCCCAAAACATGCAGGACATGATGCAACCAAAGATGACAGAGAATAGTTTCTTTTGCAATTGTTGCTAGCGCTCTTTCTTTTCCCAGGACTGAGGCGGGGATTGGTCAGCCCCCGCCTGCTCTCGCTCTCTCTCCTTCTTCACGAGGCAGACGGGGTCAGGCGTCCTATGCCCCGCGAATGCAAGCTTGCGCCTGCAGCTCGAAGCAGGTCTTTTCTGCAGAGAGCTGTTCCATTTACTGCAGCAACTTGGGCTGTACCGCGTCTCGTCCTTCCCTTCTCTTCCGTACATCTATCTCACTCGCTCACTTGGCCACTCACTCGCCCACCCCGCGTGCTTCTTCCTCAAGTGCCCATCTCGTCGTCTTCACGGACAGTTGAAACATTGTTCGACGACGGGCCACGATTCAGACAACGCAACAAGGGAAGTCTTGGCATCCCAACTTGTTTTGCCATCTAACCCACATTGCGACTGTCGCACACCGACATGTCAAGGCGATTGACAAGCACTCGACTGAAGCCCCTCTGACAGACGCACCCAGTCAACTGAAAATGCCGTGCCTGCCACGGTTTTAAACACCTCCGACTTCCGAGCAGTGCAAAAACCGCCTCTTTTGAGCAGTGCCTAAACGCTTCTCAACGCAAAACCCTGAGAAATGCACATTCGACCACCGACGGTCTGAAACCAAACTGCTCTGCCGCCGCGCGGTCGCGAGGGATGGTCGGCTTCTAAACTTCTTCTAAACTTGGCACGTCCTTGCTTCGGTGTCTCAAGGTTCCCACAGCTCAGATTCAACATTCAAAAAGGCTGCAGTGCCTGGTCTCGCTACTGTGACTGATCTGCGCACCACGAAAGTTGCAAGCATCGTGCCTCTGCAGATTCCCGAGCACGAAGTTCCAGGCTGTGTATCTGTTCTTCAGCCTGAGAGAAAGCTTACGTGAGAGCATGAGTATGACTCTCAAATACTCGAGATTTTGAGGACCGCGCCAAGGAGATGCGTGTGTCGAGACTAGCCCGGATGTCGTCCAAGTGAGCACGCTCTGCTTGTATGGACCCAGGCCAAGAGGTGCGGAATTCCTCCAGTCGTCGCCTCATGTCCTGAAACTCTACTTGCGTAGGCATCTCAGGCCCCTTTTCCGCCGCGGGGAGCGGGCCTGCTGCCAGCACTTCCCTACTCCGGTTGGAAGGTGCTTCGGTGAAATCAGCAAACTTCGACTCTACTTGGCCGATTTGTTGACGCAGCATGTCTTCCAGCTTCTGATTTCTCCTTTCCAAGTCAGGCGCAATAGAGAATACCTCCTCCTGCAAAAGCTGCAGGCGCTGTTTGATCAGGCATATCTCCATCTGAAACTCATCTCGGTGATCCTGCAACTGCTGTGTTCGCAAGCGGCAGCTTTGTAGTTGCTCTTTGGAGAACAATGTCTCCTCCTCAAAGAGCTGCAGTTTCTTCTGAAAGCTGTCAGACTGGCTCCTCACTTCTGCAAGAGCTTCGACACATGTGCTGGATGATTCCTTCAGATGGAGACATTCGTCAGAGACCGAACTCTCCATTTGCTCCAAACGCTCTTGCATCTTGATTGCAAGCTTAGAGATGCTTGTTCGGTTCTCTGCTGTCGCCGCTTCGACAGATGCCAGTTGCTGAAGCAATTCGGCTCGAACTTCCCGCACCCTCGTGTCCAATAAACGTTCTGCATCACTTAAATGCTGTTCCAACGCTGTCGTTAACTCAAGTTGGAACTCGTTCATCTTGTGCTCAGACTTTTGCAAGACGAGTGCACTCTCCTCATGTATTTGGGACATGATGTCCGTCTCGAGAGTTTCGAGCTTCTTGGATGTCTTTGAAATCGAATCCTCGACCAGATTGATGAACTCTGCAGGCCTGTCTTGACCATCACTTCGCTCCACTAGGTCGCGCGTGTGTTCGATCTGCTCAAGGGCCATATCCATGGCCCGAAGTTTCATTGTCAAGTCTGCTTTCAGCTTCGTGGAATTGGACGTCTTCTGCACAGCATTATGACTGGGGTCCTGACATCGACGAACCGCTTGTGTAGCTGCATCATCTGGATGCATCGCCATGCAGCCACGTGACACAGTTACTTCCTTACCATCTGAAACTGGCGATAGCCTGTCCTGTAGTCGGCTCCCGCCTGCTAACTGCCCTATCTAAATATAAACCACGATATCACGAAATCGCAGGTCTTTCCAGAAACACAGTTTCGCAAAAGGCTGCAGTTGAGCCCTTGACAACATGTAAGTAACAGAAGCAAAACAGCATCACGCTAAACCGAATGCAGAGCTTCACAGACGCTGCAAGACCCGGCCTGGAGTGCCTTGCATCTGCATCTGCTGTTGCAGTTGCTGCTGTTGCAGCTGGATCTGCTGCTGTTGCAGCATCTGCTGCTGAAGCATCTGCTGCTGCGCATACTGCTGCAGCTGTGCCTTGTTGTCAGAAAAGAGTCTCTGAACTCATGATGCCCGACTGCGAAGCTTCGATGAACCACACAATTCTGACTCCCAGTCACTTTTTAACCGAGGGCTCGCAGAGCAAGCTGTGAGAATACCGCTGGGTCCAACAGCAAATTTTGCAGATCATGACCGTCCATAGTCGAGGCTGTTACTCCTTGTCACTGCGCTCTTCTTTTCCCTGCACCAGCCCATACAGATGCTTGCCTCAGCTGAAGTTTTGGGGCAAAAGACCGGAAAAAGGTGCGAAAGGTTTTCGCAAGTTGTCATGCAAACGAAGATGTTCCTGAACGGTTTAACGTCTGCTTGAACGTGCGCCGCTGTGTCAGGAGCCGCTCTGAAGAGCAAAATTTCAGCACCGAAGCCCGGCTCTTGGAGAGTAGTCTTGCATAGACATCTTTCAAAGGGTTGAATGAATGTTAATGCAGACAGCTTTGAAATGATGTCAGTTGGCTTAGATCATTTCAACTAGTCTATGACCGTCTTGGATTGTATTTGCAGGATTTGCCAAGATTGCGGCAAAGACCATGTCTGCTTGCACAGCCCTCGCAACCACGAGCACAGCAAGCTCCCGTGGCCCGAAAGAGGCTTTACTATGGTTGTTGGACGAGCTTTCTTTCGAATTAGGAACGGTCCTGGAGATTAGGAACTGGGGTCCAAGTCACAGAAGTCTTGCGAGTTGAAATGCTGTGGATCGTACTCCTTCCTTAGATTTGCGAGACGCAGGTCGAATTGGCTTAGCAACTGCATGACAAGAACATGGTCTTTGCCAAGTCTCTTTTCGATGCCTTGTAGATTCGAAATCAACATTTCCAACGGCAACGGGCTTGCAGGCACTTTGACACAGAGGCATTCTTTGGAAAGGCCACCTTGCCTGAACAGAAGGGCTGTTTCGGTCAACCCACAACACACACACACAAACAGGACGGCTGCACAGTCAGACTGCAAGTCCAAGGCGCATGAAGCCCAGACCTTCAGGCTTCCAGTCCAGCCGCAAGGGTTTCAGACCGGAAGAGCCGACGGAGATGTTGTAGACAATTGCAAGGCGCGCATCCGATGGCTCCGAAGAGAGCTGAGGCACAAGGTCTGGTGCTGGAGAGCTGTCACGAATCAGCCACACCTCCTCAATCTTGGCTCCTTCATGCTCCCACTTCAAGAGTTGCACATTCAAGTGCGGGTTCAGGCATCGGGCAGCAGCTCTGCGCTGGACGCAGCAGGTTGCCCGCGAAAAACCATCAGTCAAGCCGCTGCTAACGGTCCCCATAAGTCACATTGCAGCGGGTACCAAGCTTGAATCAAGTGAAAAGTGCGTGCAACCTTCACAATGCTTTCCCTGGTGCTCATGCTGCAGGACAGAGTTCTTGAAAGCAAACCGACGGATGCCCGCACAACCAACCAGACTCGAGCCAAAATATTGTATATATGTACATACATACACACATACGTACATACATACATATATATATATATATGGATATGAATGGATATATATATATATATATATATACCACTCAGTGCTGAGGCTGCTTGTGGCACACTTTCAAAAACACCTACTGCATTTGCAGCACAAGCATCTGCCTGCTCAGGGAAGGCTCGGTTTGAGCTGCAAGGCTCCACTCCACTGCATGTGACTTCTGCCGAGCTCCAGGCATTTGCTTCCACTGCAGCATTGGCATAACCTGGATATCCCGCCACCTGAGTTCCAGAAGCAGTGTCTGTTTCCTGAATGGTGATCACATGCACAACAGAATTGGTATCACACCAAAAGCACTTGCGAAGCCTGCTGGGCAGTGTAGTATGCCATGCCGCTGAAGCACCCTTAATTAGTGTGGATGGTTATGCATGCTGGACAGGCTAGAAACCTTTTTGTTGCCGCATGCCTGCAATAAGATTACGGCATGCATGCACTCGCGAGGTGTTCCATGTGCTTCCCGATGCCGCTTTGGAGCCACAGCAGACTCTCGCGCACAAGGCTGCACATGTTCATGTCGCTTTTATTGAACGCGGCACCAGACCAGGAAAGTTGTTGGACGAACCTAGTAGGCCTTCTGTTGTCTTGTGGGAATGGCGGCATGGATGCATTACACTACACATCAAGCACCGGCGGCCTAGACCTAGAATCACAACACAAACAATCGGTTATGTTGATTCTGAGCAATCACTGGCATAAACATGCCTCCTGTTCTTTCGACCAATCTGAAAGTTGGAGTCGTTGTTGTGAATAAAGCTGGGACGGGGCGATGACATCTACTATGATAAGAAAGAGAAGCTAGGTGCGAATTGAAGCATTGTTCATCCGAGCGTACTAAGTATGCCACGCTTGAACCTCGAGAAATATGAGAAAAAACATGCAAAAGAAGCGACAGATGCCATTCGCTTTGCACCATGAGCCAGGCCGCAGTGATATACAAAGTTGGTCACCACAAGCCCTATCAGTTGTGGATGGAATTGCAAGCAATGTTGATGTTACGACATGTGGTAGGGGTCACGGCAGTTGCGAATAAAGTGGTGCCAGTGGTGCGGGTAGTGCTAGTGCTGGTGGTGCTGGTGGCGGTAGTGCCAGTGGAACGTCGGCACTGAACATCCGCCATTATGGGCCCAAAATAGCAGGGCTCTTCTTATAGGGACTCCCAGAAGATGGACTCCAAACTTACAGAAGCAGCCACGTGTTTCAAGCCTGGCATGCAGACTCTCCGCCCTTTTACTCCCCTCATGATGTCATACGCCAATGAAAGAGATGTCTTCCAGCTATGTGGCCGGCGACCTCCTGCAGGGTAAGCACAGCCAACGCAGGCTAATCTGCAAGATGTTCAGCATGTCGCGGGCTTGCGATGCAAGTTCGTGTCTTGGATAAACTTCGCACATGTCTGCTGTGCGCGTGTCGCCAGAAGTGAAGTGCACGCCACTGAGCGTAATCAAAAGTGCAGCTAGCAGCTTGGGCAGGTCGAGAAGCAGCAGAATACCAGCAAGACGTCGGCCACTCACGTGCAGAGGATCGGCATCGAATTTGGAGTGGCTGTCGCAGTGTCAGCATTTGTCCCGGTGGTTCCCTGAGATGCAGCGCGGTGTCGACATCGATCCCGGCTGGGGCTTGCGTGAAAACCACAATCCGGGACCCGGAGTTCGCGCGAAGTCCGGCAGAGGGTCCGCAGACTCCTGTGCGCACTGCGCGAGAGAAGCGACACGCATGGCACGCCACTTTGCACGTTACTTCGCCGAGGACATTTGGGTCCAAGAGCCATCCTCGCTCAGGCCTCGGTATCGAGAGGTCCAGCTGCTCAGCTCAGCCCAGCCGACGTCTCAAGCCGTCCCACCCACCCCTCCGCAAAGCCGACATGGCATCAAGGCATTTAGGATTCCGCGGATCCTAGGCGGTAGCAATCCTTTGGCAAAGCCGCGGCTCCCCAGTGCCACGCGGAGGGCGAAGACCTGGGCCGGAGTCTCCAAAGTGCACCAAG